ATTCTTAGCACAAATATCGTAGGTCTACGCCACGATAACGTATCCCTCTAAGTCTTTTTATTTCATCCGCCGAGTCAAATGACTATATCAAGCCGAAACATTCCTACTCAGATCTTTATCTCTGCACCTTATTAATTTTTAAGCCTTGTGAGCTAACTCATGTCTATGTAGCTCTATGGTATTACGAGAATGCATAGAGGGGTTTGGAGGGTTTGCGAGATATTATTTTTCTTTTAACCCTACACTGTCTCTATCCTAAATACTCCTTTATTTTTCTTACACTTTGTTGAGCCTTTGTATTCACTCATTTTATTATTTATATAGTACTAGACAACTGTTCATTATTGCTTCCGATCTTTTTTTTTCTTAATAAATTTATAGGATATCTACGAATGCCGAACGTGTGGTCTCATGGATTCTTTATGCTGCTGCATTGATTGTGCTCGTATTTGTCACAAGGGCCACGATTGTCGACTTAAGCGGACTTCACCTACAGCATACTGTGATTGTTGGGAGAAATATCGGTGCAAGAGCCTTGTGGCCGGCTACCAGCCTGCAAGGCACTCTCTATTGTATCGTCTTCTGACAGAGACTCGTTTGGTATGTCAGCCAAATGGCCGTGGCGAGCATTTACTATTATTCTTGGCGAAGTGTGTTGAGCGCCAATATCGTGAGCAGAAGCAATACAGGCCCTCTCGACGTCGTTTTGGTACTAATTCTGCTGCTGGTGGTGGTGGGGCAAGCTCGCGCTTGGCTTCCGTTTCATCAAGTACTGCCAATGAAGGCTCTAGTGGGGTTTCAAGTGGATCAGCAGCGCCTGAAGAGCCAGATCATGATTCGACACCTCCTAGATTCACCAGGGACGCATTTGAATTGGCTCTGGACTGTCCACTCGCTGTAGAGTCAATGCTTAACATGGGAGTTGAGGTTGATCCTGAACCAATTTCTGTTTCTGGTTCTTCTGCTCTTTGCCTCCTCGAAGAACAAGTGAGCATCATTAAACCAAAATAACGATTATCCATGTAGCTCTTGCAGTCAGAACCTCTAAAATTGTGTTTATTTTTATATTTTATCTAATGAATTTATTTGACATCGTTTAAAAAAATTAACTATTGTTTAGGGGTTTTCATTTTTGGTAGGTTTTTGAGACTGCTTATTGATCGTGTAAAAACTTCATTCCCCCTAGTTCTTTTGGGTTGACTCAGTCTTATTACCATAAACAAAGTAGAATAAATTTACCTCTTATATTGCTTAGAGATATTTATTTCGTAGTCTTCATTAAATATATTGTCAAGTGTATTTATTTCAAAATTTAGCAGAAAAAATTAGATTATTATTGGTCAACTTTGAAGCT